TTATTATTATTATTATTATTATTATTTTTAATTTTTTTAAATACGATTATATAGGAAATTTATAATCTTCTTAACCCATTTACCAAGCAACTTTAATGCTCTCATCATCAAGTCACCCAACCTTAGGAGATCTTCATTTAATATTCACTACGATTAAAAGATCTCTCGAAGAAATTATCGATAATACAGTCGAAGAGACTACACCAAAACTTGTTGCAACAGCCATGGCAATTAAACTTGACGAGTATTGGCAAAAATTGGATCAATCATCCTTTATGATTGCTCCACTCGATTCAAACATTAAGCTTTCATTATATGATGCAAAAAAACAACATAAAGCTCAACAATATATAGAAAATATCTATTTAAAATATATTACCTCTAATGCCAGTTCATCATCCCAAACAGATACTTTACAATTAACTTCACGCGATTATTTCAAAAAGGCCCTTAAGCGTTCATCTGATTCTCCTGGAGTAACAAGTGAACTACGAAATTATCTTATGTCAGCAGAAGTTGATTGTGAAGTATTATCGTGGTGGAAAGCTCATGCAAATAATCAAAATTACAAAATTATTGCAAAAATGGCTCAAGACTACCTGTGCATACAGGCTACTAGTGTACCAAGTGAGCAGGTATTCTCAGTTGCCAAACATACCATAAACTCCTTACGTAATCGTTTAGATCCAGCAAAAGCACGGGCAACTCTCTGCCTTAAAAGTTGGTATGAATCTGGTGTAATTAAAAAACTTGAGTAAAGTTTAATAAATTAGTTTAGCGTTAAGCATTAGTATTAGTTTAGTGTTAGTATTTTTTTAAAGGTTGGAATATTCGACTGTCTTATTGTATTTTTCTAAATTGTAAATCTATTAAATTTCTGACTTAAATAAAAAGTTCGAAACTGAGTTTAGAAACTCGCATGTGGCCACTCATGTGGCCTTCACATGATATTTTTGGAACTTGAGTGTGACTTTCACATGACATTATTTGAACTCATTTTCGAACTGTTTCTGAACTTGAACTTTTATGAAACAGGACCGAACTGGACCGAACCGAACTTTTAACATCCCTAGAAGCGGCACACCCGCGCCACAATCCGCTGGATTATTCACGAGAGGCCGATTCCAAAACAAGAAGCTGATTGAAAGGGGAATCATATGCAAGCAGCTGCTTCATATGATAATGGCATGGGAACAATGCAAGCCTTAACAATAGTGGGAAACACTTAATAAAAGACCACAGCACCGAACGCTGGATTCCCCTGGTGTCAAACCCGATCGATCAGACTTCTTCTCGACCCACCCGATACAAAAGGCGGGACTGAATTCTACCATTTCTCTACTCTTGTACGTCTCTACCGCATATTCGGTATTTTCACCTGATTCTCTATTCACAGCCGGCCTGCTCCGGCAGGCTGGAAACCACCGGCTGATCGATCCTACGGCGATTTTCAGCGCAATGATTGTTGCAAACTTTTCGGGATGTCATTGCCGTTCTGGCTAATCGCGGCCAATCATTTGCTTATCTGCCATCATTTACTAAATTCCATTTACTGCTCTAATAAAAAACTACCTCCGGCCTAAATAATGCCGGCATAGCCCAACATGAGTAGTGTAAAGCGATACTTTTCGATTGGACATTTTTTTTGGCCCAGGCTTTTCTAAGAATAGAATCTTTGGTCATATCCGGTTTTTGTAATATTACCTTTTTTAGAATTATTCAGAATCCTATCTATGTTACCATCTTGACACGGGTTTTTTAACTAAACCCAACCCACCTAACTGATAGAGTATGCGAGATGATGCTCAAATCTTCCCCTAACTTCTAACTTATTTGTGTTTTTTTTTTCATTTTCACACAGTTTAACGCAGTTTAAATGGCAAATACAAATTTTTGGGTAAAAAATTTTTTTTCTTTCGCTTTACTTTTCTGCTATTAAAAAAAAAAACGAACTCAACCAAAAATCACCCTACAGGTAAATCCTTTTCAGATGATGCGTAGTGACGATGAAAATAAGCAATCGGATTCTACCAATAAAGCAGAAGTAGGTGATGACGAGTGCGATAACGATGGTAAGTTTTTTTTTTCTTTTCATCACTTCTAATTTTTGTATGTGAAAGAAAATTTTTAAAATTACAGGATTACGAATTCGCTACTAGGGATGGGTTCGATCACGAGCGGGCAAAATTATTCATAGCCAAATTGCTAAATACTGAGATGATTTTTTGCTTTTGAACTTTTAATTAAAGTTGTTCAGAATTAAATTCTGATCATACCATATTATAAGTGGAAAGAGCGATACCTTCTCTGGAACTCGGAATTTCAAAATTTGTAACGTCATAACCGGTCATTAACCGACGGCCAATGACCGGTCATGAAATAACAAAATTTGAAATTCAGAGTTCCAGAGAAGGTATCGCTCTTTCCACTTATAAGATGGTATGACTAGAAATTAATTCTGAACAACTTTAATTAAACTCAAAAGTAAAAAATCATCTCAGTATTTAGCAATTTGGCTATGAATAATTTTGACCGTTCGTGACCGAACTCATCCCTATTCACTACCTTTAAATTGAGAGCTTATTTTTATTTCGTTTATATTATTTTTGCATTTACATTACGTTTTATTCATAAAGTCATATTTATTTTATTATTCTACTTTCTCTTTGACCACTTCATCTCGTTTCACATTCGTTACTGACAAGTTGAAAAGTTAATTCTAAATATAAATCATCTATTAGTTGTGATAGGAATATTAGTTTTAACTTCATAAATAATAATTTAATTCATTACATTAAAAGCTTGTCAATTAGTCAATTATATTAATTAATTTAGAGTATAAATCTCAATCATAAGCTTATATACGTCTCCAATTTTTACATTGTATTAGTTAAATTATATTTTCAACAAAATTTCATAATCTTTTTTTACATCTCAATAATTCCTTTTAATTATTTGTTTTTTAAATTCATTTAGCAGATAATCCCATAATTAGCGCATATTCTTCTCGACCGTCAACACCTAAAAAATCTTCACCACCACCACCATCATCAAGAACACGAACTCATTCTTTAATATCTTTAGAAGAGAGGTATAATCTGTCTTCGCCGCCAAAAGATGTGGCCTACACTCCAAACAAGATTGTTACCCTGGCGGATTCATTTCTACTCAAAGAACATTATTATCAACCTCGCCCTTATAAATCTGATAACGAAGATAAGCCAAAAAGACAATTAAGACATGGTCTTAGCTTTAATCACTCAAATTCTCATCAAACATCTACTAACGAAGTTATTGACGTTGCAAAAATATTATCCACTGCTATTTCTTTTGTAAAAGAAAATAATAAGAAATTAGATCAGCTTACTGACGAGATTAGAAGTGATGGACAAAGCAGTGAAAACGATATAGATTTGGATGACAGTGACTTTAGGTGGAGTAAAAGAGAGCTTGAAAACGAAATTACAAAATTGGTTGCTCAATTAAAGTCTATGAAAGAAACGTTTGAGATGCAAATCAACAGCAAAAACAGGTTAATAGAGGACCTCGAGTATGCACTAAAGAAGAGTGAGAAAGCCAGTAAAAGAAAACGCGGCGAAATTGAACGCATGGAGAACCAGATCGAGGCTCAAAGGAGAGCAATAGATGAGTTGATCGAAGAGCAAACCTTTATCAATAGAAGTCAGCCCCCTGATCCCAAACAAACTGAAGTTTTTTTACTTGAACAAGAACTAGATGAAAAGGATAAAACTATTGAGGAGCTTCAAAAAAAGATCCAAGTATTAGTTGTATCCAAAGAAAATGAAATGAAGTTAGATTTAATTTCAAATCAACTTTTAAGACATCAAACTCTTGAACAAGAAATACCACAAGAATGGCTTGAAAAGACTATTTTTGATGGGCACATTAATTTTATTGAATATAAAAAGTTTACAGACCCCATTGTAATCGGTATTGGAAGTTTTGGTGAGGTTTTCAAATACACGTGGAGAGACAGTGAATTAACGGTTGCTCTTAAATGTCTTAGAGTCGATACAAGTATAGATGAACAAATAATTAAAGATTTCACCGATGAGGTATTATTTATTAAATTAATTGCATTATACAATAGAATAATCAATTCTTATAATTCATATAATTTAGCTTAAGCTATTACGAAAAGTTTGTTACCATCCAAATATTATTATGTTCTACGGGGTTACGAAAGGTAACATGTGATTTATAGTTTTAGGGCATCAAATAATAATATTATTATTAACCGAAAATATTTATTTTTCTGATGACAAATAGATAGCAACGGATATTATAATATGGTTTTACAATATGCTAATGGAGGAACTCTACAAGAATATCTAAAAGAAAATTTTACAAGATTACAATGGTCAGATAAACTACTTATTGCTGAGGAAATAGCACTTGGAGTTCTATTCTTGCATGATAATAATATTATTCATAGAGATCTTGTAAATAATATATTTTTTGTTTAAATTTTTATATTTATAAATTTATTTCTACTTTAATTATTGATGTTTTAATCAATTAGCATTCAAGGAACGTCTTAATTCATCAGGGACAACCAAAGATAGCAGATATTGGGCTATCAAGTCTGATAAATGAAATGTATAAGGCCTCAACCTCAGTTACACATGGAATGCCAGCATATATCGATCCTAAATATTTTATCGACCCCAAATATAAACGTAGCAAAAAATCAGATGTCTATAGCCTTGGAGTAATTCTTTGGGAAATTTCGAGTGGAAGGCCGCCTTTCGCCTCTTTTGAATTATTTTCGCTCGCCGTTCATATTTCCCAGGGAAACAGAGAAAAACCTATAGAAGGTACACCATCTCAATACATTGAACTTTACAAACAATGTTGGGATAATGATCCTGAAAATCGCCCAGAAACAAGATTAATTCTCGATAAATTAAAACGACATATTCCCAACGAAACTTTGAGTCAACACCAGCCTATTGAAAAATCATCTCAAAATAGCGAAATTCCTTCAAGTGATCAAGATACGGCTACACAAAGTTAATTTCTTGATTTTCATAACATAGCCTGGAAATTCGGGGTTTTATAAAAAAATTTTTTAAGTAATAAATTAATAAATATAGTGATGATATTGCTTAAATAATTTGCAAAGCAGACAATTTTGAAAATTACATATTAAATTTGACATAACAGAACAACGCTCATAAAATCTTGAAATGTCAATATGTCAGTCACATTGCATCTGCCATTTAATTATATAATATGCATTTACAAGCTATTTTGAGCGAAAAAAGTCACTTGAATTTTTCACGGATTTAAAACGTTGGATATAGTCTACTCTCTTGGTTATGATTATGGCCATGGTTATGGTTTCGATTGTGATTATGCAGCTGCTCTTGCTCCATAATAACTGAAAAGAAAACAAAAAAAAAAAAACTATAAAAATGAATATGTTAACAAATATTAAGAAAACTGCTATCCTACTATAGATATGGAGTGCGAATCCTAGATTTTACAATTTTTAATAATTTCTTAATTGGATCTTTGCCGTTCAGATTATTTGATAATCGAATGTTTCTTAGCGATAGTAGTTTATATTGATCTAAGAAATGAAGTTAGTGCATACTTTATTCATTTGACTGGTTGTACAAAAATGTGATCAAAATGTTAAGATTAATATATCAAAGAGCAAATTATGGTCAGGAATTTCATCACAGTTCAATTTTTTTTTAAATATCAAATTAACTGGATACGTAGCACATGATTTAACACAATGATATAAATCACTGCCTTTGATTAAATCAATTTAATGCATTATTTAATCATTTATTATGTGTAATCTATTTGAGTAAATTTGCGTAATTGATTATTTTGATCTGTACCGTATTTTCGCGAAATAACGGGCATGGGCAATGACCAGAATTAAGCTTAATTTAGGCCGAAATTCATAATTCACCCCTGCGCGTTATTTCGCGAAAATACGGTAAAAATTTTAAATGTATAGTAAAGAAATACAAATCTCAGAAGACGTTGTCATAATTTATAAAAACATACTGGACACAATAGGAGGTGCCATCGATGTTACATGACTGATCTTTCACTCGGTGTGAACCATATAAAAAAATTATTTTACAATACCAGATCAAACATCATTTTTATTATAATAAAAAATGGTGTTGGATTATAATCATAACATATACTAGCTGAATGTAAAAATTTTTATATATGGTTCACACCGGTGAAAGATCAGTCGCATAACATTGACGGTTCCTCCTGTTACTGTACAATAAAGATGGGATCCCGCGCGTGATTCATCACGTGTTACGCGTGATAATTTGGGCCAATACCATAATTCCGGCCGAAATTTTCAGTAATCCCGGTAACTATCCCGCGAATCACGCGCGGGATTTTTGGAGAAATCTCGATTTGCCCATCTCTACTGGACACCTCGCCAAATGTGTATCTACTATGAAGAGAATACCACTGGTATAGTGATCGTTTAAATGACTATTTAATAAATGTAAAGTCTCTTATAAGATACTATGAGCGCGAATTTTGACCAAAATAAGCTTAATTTAAACCAAAATTCGAAATTACACCCCTGCGCGTTATTCCACGAAAATATGGTAAAAATAATTCATTACTTCAAAATATCGAAGAAAATTTTATATATTGGTCAGATTCAAAGTACAGTCGAACCTTGATGAGGTGTTTTAATCTTCTCAACTATTTCCACTATATCCAACTTTACTAATCCAATACTCTTATTTTTACTCTTTTACTCTTAGTGATAATACCAACAACCAAGTTACTAATACTTATGACGTTAATAATCATAATACTAATCTCTTTTTAACAATTATTATCTAAACTAATCTTCTTTTTTTACCTCGCCAGGATATAACTAACAATATTATTTTTTAACAAATTGCATTTATGATAGATATTGGTAATTAATTATTTATACAGTACGGGACAGCAAAAATTATCCAATTTTTTTAAAAGCGCCAAATTTTGTGATTTAACTCAAATCTGATTGGCTGATTGTTGTGTAACAAAATTCTGATTGGCTAAAAATCTATTTAAACAAATTTTTTTATATATTAAGCGCCAAATTTTTGATTGCATATAAACTTTAAGCTCTAATAACTTTTCAAATTTATAATAAAAATAAAATTCTAATTTAGCAGAATTGTAGATTAGACTAAAAGCAACAAATTTGTAAGACAGGTTTTTTTAAAAAAATTATTTGTTTGTTATAAGCATTTTCATATTTTATATATATAAATTGGAAGTTTTTTGCTGTCCCGTATTGTAGTTAATCAACTCATTATTTCCAACACTCTTTTTTATCTTTACAACAATTAATTTATACAAATTCTTCAACTTCTTATTTAACAAACTTATTAATCTACTAATCTTTTTTTTTCTAACCAATATATTATTTTTACTCAATAGATTATTCAACAAGCTTATTTATCTGTTCTTTAAGAGTAGGGTGTCAAATTTATATAAAAATAGATTGTAAATTAACATTGTATAACCAATATTATATAGTATCATATATGATTTATATGTAAACAACATGTGATTTGACCATCATAATTAGTAATCTTTTATATAACCAGAGAAAAATATATAGTGTCTAAGAAAATTTTTCTTATATGATAAGTTAATTTTTTTTAAAACAATATGTATTATACAACTTTACTATTATAAACAAACTATTTTAAACTATATATTGTATAAAATTAATACAAATTGGTTAAGATATTGAAAAGTTTTATTAGAAGCACTTTTTTGTTTACTATGTAAAAATTTAATATACTACATAGATCATATAAAAATTGATCTATATATATCTTACTCTTAACAATTCAATTCTCAATATATATATATATATTTTCAGTATTAAGGTAATTTTTTTAGCTATAGAGAACTCTTTATTTTTTTAATGTTTAAGGTGAGACCATGCTCTTATCTTTATTAGTCTTAATGAAAACTTTTTACATTATTGGAAAAGGTTTTATAACTTAAGCCTAGTACTAAGAATAAGAACTCAGACATATTACTAAGAAAGTCTAAAGACTATATAGCCTTAGAAACTTATCTGCGGCCTAAACCTAGAGAACTCTTTATTAGTAATTATTTGCTATTATAGTTATAATAAAAATACAATTAGCTACATGTGTACTTTTTAAGTATCTATTTAAGTAGTCTATTTGCAGATTCTATACTAGATAATGTACCTATAACCCAACAAGGAAGTTACTATTTAAAACTTCTAATTCTAACTATTTTTAAGCATATTATACTAATCTGAGAACTACTATTTAGTCTGTTCTACTAAATTGTGAACACTATTTTAGAACTTTCATGTAGAGTCTGTATTGGGCCAGGTTTAACCCAGCCTGGCCTGGCCCAGCCTAGGCCCAAACTGCAAATTTACAAGATTGGGCCCAAATTTTTAGACCTGTAATCAATTTAGGCAATATTGGGTTAGCTCAAAAGTAATAAGTCAGACTTAGGCCTAGTTTAGACCTTAGTAAATTTTAAAATCAGGCCAGGTTTGGGCTCAAATTTTCAAGCTCATAATTAATTTAGGCAAATTTAGGCTGGGCTTACAAAATTATCAGGTCTGTAAAAACCTGACTTAATCTAGTCTGACCCAGTCTAATACAAACCCTACTTTTATGACTTATTCTGAGTTTGCACAAACTAATTACTAGCTTGTATTTTTTTGTTAAGCAGATATATAGCTATTCTTGAGATAAATCTACCAGAGTCTTTCTTATTTTATTTGGGCTAATCTGGTTTTGCACAGTTGCCAAAACTCCTATTTGTAGTTGAGTTTTTCTTATTTAACTGCTTTTGCTCTTATAAGGTTTACTTTTCAATCCTAGTACTCATATTTAGATATCTCTTTTTTCTATTATTTTTTATTAGTCTATCTCTTACTTCTAACCAATGACCTAAAAGATTTGACTTTGGCTTAATTTTAGATGCCTAATACTCACATTTTATCTTGATCATAATTTCTTAGCACATGGTTTTTTTCTTTAATTTAGTCAGCTAATCCTCTGATCATGCTTAGTATTTTTTATCTAACTAGTTTTTTTGTCCAACTTTAATAGCCTTTAGTCTGATAGGTAGAGCCTCTTACCACTAGTTTCCTATACTGGCTAGCCAAGATTAATATATTTTGTAATATTTTTATAGATTTATAACTTTTTTAAATTAGTGTTATATTGGTACACACTAGATGGGCTTTTAGTGTTGGTTTAGCTCAAATAAAGCTTTGCTAGATTTGGCAATAGATACACAGCACTTGCCAATATCTCTTTAACTTTGACTCAGCATCATGGCACTTATTAAGCATACACGCTATCTTATACTAGAACTGAAGGTTTCGTATCTAGTTGCTTTATTGGAGTTTTCTTAATGCCCAAGTTAGAACTGGATTCATTTATGAATCTCTTTATTCTATTTATATCATTTATGTTACTACAAATTGGTTTTATCAAACCATACATTGATGACCATATATTTAATACAAGATTATACATAAACTACTATAGACTATTTCTATAATATATATATTACAAACAAACTATTTATATATAAGATCATTAATCAATCTGATTACCTAATTATTACAGGCATCACATGCATATGTAATATTGTAAACTAAGTTCACAATTAGATTACAAGTCTTCAAAACCAAGCATTCCCTGAATATAGTTCATAGGGGTTTGATTATCATCATGACAGAAGCTAGATCCCCTATAATCTTCATTCTTAAAGTTACTATCTTGCAGATTCATTTATTCTGGTCTTTGTTTCAACCTTTTTACCAAATTTCTTGTAAAAAGATCTGCCAACACACTTCTATCCATTTTATTTAAATACAAATGCCTATTCTTTCTAATTCTTTGTACAACATATAGACTAACTATCTATAGTTCAACTTTCAGAGTGAATTGTTAAATATTAAATTATATACTAGTACAATATCACCAACTTTGATCTTTTATTTATGTGTATTTGCATAATAATCATAAAATCTTTTTCATTGCTCTCAAAGTTCATCTTGATTTATCTTTGCTTCTTTCTTTTTAACCAAAAAACAATAATAGGCATATTGACTTATGCTTTTTTCTAAAATACCATATTTTAACATATCTTTAAGCTAATCTTCAAATATTTGAGTATATTCCAGATTGAGGATTCTTATTGGACATATGCATATAGGTGGTATTTCTTTTCCTCTAGTTTTTATTTCATACTGGATTAGATTCATTTTTCCAATTTCTGACGTGTCAAATGCAAATATATTGGGAGTTTTCTTCATTAGTTTTTCTTGTACCTATTATTTTTCTTCTATAAATATGCAATCTCCAAAGTTAGTTCATTGCAATTGTCCTTTGCTAATCTTAACACAACATCTGGATCTGGCCTTTTTATTATTTTATTTTTTTGTTCATCTTTATCTAACCAATGATTACTTGACCTACAAACTTCTGACCCTCTAAATCATGTGAATCTATAGGTTCTATTTCTTCTATAGTAAAATAATTCAAATTATCAGCCTTTTGTATAATATTGCTCTATTCTTGAATATCTTTATACATCTTGCTATTATCAATTTCAACTCTGCACATTGTCATTATATCCTCTGTATCAGTTTCATCATCATCTTCTGATAAATTGAGCCTAGCTTTAGAAACTATTGATGCAACAAATGAAGCCTCTTTAAGATTAGACTTTATAGTATACTTTAATTTATTGTTTTTTCATTTTAAATTGTATTTTGCTGGCAAGCCAAGGCATGCCTAGTAAAACTTTGAAGCTTGTGACTTTCATTACATAAAATTCTTGCAATACTCTAATGTCTTCCACTATTATTTCAACATTGGAAATATACTCTACAAATTCACTTAAGCAATCATTAGCCATATGGTCTTTGCTGGTTACAGGTTTTAAGTTAACACTTTTCGTTTGGCAAAAGCTTTATGCATAAGGTTCAATCATGAACCAGGATCAATGGAAGTTTTGACTACTTTATTATTGATCCTTACCATTCCTACAGGAACATTTCCCACCTTCAGATTTAGATCTGTTTGCATTTCATACACAATTCTAATTTTAGTATTTACTAACAATACATCACTTTTCTTTTTTTTTCTAGTTAATCTTTTAAACACTTCAGTTCTGGCTTTTGGAGATCATTTAAACAATTGTCCTAATGTAATTAGGAGTTCAAGTGATGCAATTTGTCCCAGAACATCTAATTCTTGTGTTAATTTTGATATAGGAATATACATAATTGATTCCTTTTTGTGTTGTTTAGTTTTTTCGGGCATTTCTATATAAGTATTTTTCTGTACCCATGATGGCATTTCATGCTTATCTTTTACATGTCTTCTTTTTTTCAAATTCCTTATATCAAATAAAAATTCACCTTCTTCAGCTTTTATTATTAAGTATTTATTACTTTTATCTTTAGTTACATTATTAATTTCAAAATAATGTATATTTATACTCCTTATTCCAGAGTCATCAGATTTAGTGTTTGTTATTTTATTTCCTTAATTAGTTGACCGTGATTGCAGAATTCTAGTAGAACAATTGTGAGCAATATGCCTTTCTTAACCATATTTATAACATCTTCAAAACCTATCTACTTGATTTTAGTTATTTATGCTTTGTTCTTGTATTACATTATTTATTCTTTGATTTTATCGTATATTAGGTAGTTTATTTTCTTTAAGGTTTATAATAGCCTTTGTTAACTCTTTGATGCTTGATTCCATTTTACCTATTCGGTCATCTTGATTTGCATTCTGATCAACAAAGCAAATTTTCATAGCACTAAAAGCTGTTGTAAGATTGTTATAAATTTGTTGTACTTGGTTCATTAGTTGTATTCTTTAAAAGTATATACTTATTGTCTTTATTGTATTTTTCTACCTTTAGAGCTCATTTTTTGGCATCATTATAGGTTTCAGAGCATTGCATTTCTACCTTTTCTCTAAACAGTTCTTTTAACCCTTGTATATACCATTGCCACTTCTTATTATTTCTTATATCATTTTCAACTAACTTTATACAAGTATCAAACTGATTGGTATAAGCTTTTATAGTGTTATTAGGTTTTTGCTTAATGTTTCTTAATCATTCTATTTTTTCTTCTTTATTGCAAGAGGCTTGAGCCCTATCTATAATTCCAGCTTTTAAGTTTGTCCATATTATATAGGTTTTTATTTGTTCACAAATCTAGGGCTTTAAGTCGTCAGATACATAAAGTCTAAATACTTGTTATTTCTTAGCATTATCCCAATCTTTTGATATACAATATGCTTAATAGTCCTCAAGAAACTCTTCAATATCTTCATTATTACAGCTATGGTAAATAGGGTTTGTCAAATTAGAACTCTTACATTTTTTTGTCATTTAGTTGAGTCTTGATTTTTTACTTTTGTTGAATATGTTATTAGGTTTTTTTTTTATAATTATTTTTTTTTTTGTACAAACTGAGTTTGGCTTATGCTAATTGTTATTACTTTCTTGCAAGAAGTCTTTATTTGTATCCAGGTCCTTCCTTGTTATATGGGTATATACTAGACAGGCTTCTAATATTAGTTTAGCTCAAATAAAGCTTTGCCAAGTTTGGCAATAGACATACAGCACTTGTTGATACCTCTTCAACTTCAACTCAGCACTATAGCACTTATAAAGCACACACACTACCTTATAGAACTGAATATTTCATATTTAGTTGCTTTATTAGAGTTTTTTTAATACCTAAGTCAGAACTGGATTCGTTTATGAATCTCTTTATTCTATTTATATTATTTCTATTACTACAAATTGGTTTTATCAAACCATACTTTGATGACTACATATTTAATGCAAGATTATGCCCAAACTACAATTGACTATTTCTATAATATACATATTACAAACAAACTATTTATATATATAATCATTAATCAATCTGATTACCTAATTATTACAGACACTATGTGCACATGTGACATTGTGAACTAAGTTCACAATTAGATTGCAAGTCTTCGAAACCAAGCATTCCCCAAATATAGTTCATAGGGGTTTGATCATTATCATAACAATTAGAGGTTGGATTAGTAAATCACTCACTAAAGAATCTTGTTGTTGTTTGGTTCTCTAATTTTAGTTTTAACTTCTAAATATGAGTCTTTTTTGTAGTACTATTAAAGATTATAATTACTCTTTACTCAAATCTTTCCAAACAGGTTTTGCTTATCCCAGTTTTTCGACATTTTATGTGCTAAGACTTCTATACAAATATAGTGCTACCAAGATTACAAATTTTTAGATCCAACTGATTAACAGATAATTATTACTATAATGTAGGCTTATTTTTCAAAAGTATTATCTATGGGATTTGA